GGGGGTTGTTGTTTTTTTTACATTTTTTATAGGAGTTCCATCCTCGTTTGCTTTTGAAATCTTAGCAAGGGTCTCAAACTCAATGAAACAGGGGGCGAAACTCAAATTCGGTCTAATATTGCGGGCCAAATTGGGATAAACACTAATTGAAGTATGCTTAACTGAGCCTTTTTTAAACAGTATAAAATGTGTGAAACTGAACAAAATGTTAACTAATTATGCTAGATGTTCAGCATGTTTTCCTGGTGATATATGTTCCTTCATGTTGGGAGTAGGGTTTTGGGTTATGGAGGAGATTCTCAGGATTGACAACCTAAATTGTCTTGCAGGCTGGTAATAATTGTTGGCCATGCCGGATGTAGTCTACAGGCCTTGACCTTGGGAATCTATTATATATTTGGCAACTTGGAAACACAAGTGTCACTTTTCCCATAAACCTACGACAGCTACAGAGTTGAAAGTCGGCGCACGTACCTGCACAAAGATAGATAGATATAGGTCCCCAGGACGGAGCCCCATTTTTTATTTATTCATTTCCTGACTTTAGACAAATATATTTGACAAAAAGTTCCCGTCCTTCTTTGGCCTATGTGATTATTCCACTGAGAAACGAAACAAATCTGTGTAGCTGTCCTTTACAATGGAAGTGCCGGAAGTGATGTTTCGCGAAGTGCATTTTGTTTTGAGAGCATAGATGTAGATTTTCTAAAAATTTGTTCATCTCTCAAGATTTATTGCTCCATTCCAGTAGGGTTTAAATACAGTAGGCCAATGACTTTCAGTTAATGTTAATGTTCCGATCATTCCTTTCATCGAAAGGGGGCTCAGCTAGTAGTAGATATTTTTGGATGGCCAAGGGACAAGGGAGAAGAGCAGGAAGATACGGGAGATTTGTGAAGGGTTTGCTGTAAGGACATACACGCACACACATAAATCTGTTGTGTTGAGTCGTAAACCACGTACATGCATACATTGGTGATGGGTGGGCGAGATGGGGAGCATGGTGTATACATATATATTTGTCAATGCAAGGGATGGCACAATATATATATATATATATATTATATTTATCAATGGGAGGGGTAGCACAGTGCATACTAATGCTGTTGTGCCTTAATCCTGTCACTGGATTTTTGGAAATCCCCCCCCACCCGCTGATTATTTAAATGAGAGGAGACATGAAAGTTTGCCCTCAGCACTGTTATATTATCATCATTTATAATGCATGCTGACTCATGATTCGCATCCAGTCTCCACAGTTTTGATTAAGCAATGGTTTTAGATTTAGAGCCCCCCCCAAAATGTTTGGATTGACCTATGTCCGGCAGTGACACGGTTACAGCATGGCAGCGTGTCTGTATGTGTGTGTATGTGGTTTGAGACTCAGCACTAAGGATATGTTTGTCTCTAGCAGTACACACAGGGCATAGAGTAGGCCGAGGGG